TCCCGCTAATGTGATTACAGTGATGAATGGTATCCTCCAGTCTGCTTCAATGCAGTTCACGCAAGAGGCGCGTCTGAAACAAGACACGATAGATCAAACGAATGAGCTGATCACTCAATTATCTACTCAACAGAAGCAGGAGCAACAAAGGCTGGAGTCACTACGTGCTCGTTTACGTTTACGACAAGATCGCGCTAAGCGGATATCGAATCTGAAGCGTTGGCTTGAGCCACAACGGCATATGCTTTCTGTCAATGCAGGGGACATCGATTTGCACGAGAAGAAGAGGATAGGATACGCCGATGCGGAAGGTGCAGGCATGCTCATCAAAGAAGACGACTTGCCTTACGAGCTCCGGCAAGCAGGCGACCATCTGGATTGCCGCGCATCAGATGGAGCCCCCTATTTGTCGACAACCATTCCACTGGATCCCGCAACGCTCAAACAGGTATCGCATCAGCCACAATATCAGGCCTATGCAGTCCAGCAACTCCCCGCCGCCTCCGTCCTCCAACAACGACTACACACCTACACGAACGCGAACGGTGCACTACTCAAACGGAGTAAGATGCTGAAAGAGAAGGACGGGCAACTGGAGATGATGTACCGCAAGGTCGTCAGTCTATGCACAAAGGTAGAAGAGAACAGGATTGAAGAGTGTCTCGAAGGCCTGGTGGCGGCTCTGGACAGCGAAGAAGGCGAGGGTGTGGAGGTTGGCCGTGTCAGGGAATTTCTGAGGAAAGTCGAGGGCGTTGAGTAAGAATTGTCAATGTTTGACACAAGCCGTTGGTTTAGCCAACGATGGATCTGGACTTTGCGACGCACACTGATGGTCATGCCGGCGAGCGGACATTCTGGCGTTGAGGGGTATCAGGATCGGACGGTTATAAACTTGCTTGCCTAGGCATGTATTGTAGCGCTTCAGTGCGGTTATCCTATTGGCGTATCATCTGGATTCGGTCCGAGAGGCGAATGCCACGAGTTTGCGTAACGCCCTTGTCAATACTATAATACTTTACGACTTTTACGCCTTATCGTTGTTAGCGATTGCGTAAGCCCAGGCAGCAGTCTGAGCTAAGTGGAATGACTCTGTCTCGATACGCTAGACAGATGCAGTGGAAGCGAGCCGCTACTGCCAGCCGTGTATAAGCAAACCGCAGCGCCTTGAACGCTCCTACCTTCCTACACCACAATTCTTGCCAAGCATCATGAACACTCACCTCACTAAACAGCCGTTCCGCCTTCTTGATCTACCACGCGAGCTACGAGACAATGTCTACGAATTTGCGCTAGGCTTCGATAGCTGTCGAACAGCTCCCTCTACTATCCACGAGTACTCAAACCTGCATGCGGGAGCACCCATAGTAAAGCGGGGACGTCTCGGCATTAATACACTCCTCGCAAACAAGCAGATCTATGATGAAGCAAAGCCCTTCCTGTCAAACAGCAACACTTTCGTGCGCGTCGAGGTTCAGAATGCCAATATACAAGACTGGTTCCACAGGCCCGGTCAACCGATCCACATCTTTTCCATCAGCCACACTGGTGGCTGCATACCAGAGCCGCACCCCAGTTTGAGCGAAGAAGAGCCAAAGGTCTTCCCGCATTGTGAGATGGACCTCGTCTTTCAGCTCGACCGGTTTCTTGAATCCTCTCGCTCCTCTCGCTCCTTGACAACCAGGATAGTGATGCTTTTGTCGGACCTGAGCGAATTTTGCAGGAGATTGGAGATTGAAAGGATGCACCATGGCCACACGAAAATACCAGACATGGGGGTGAAGTTACACGTCACACTGAACGCAGGTACGAACACTGACGAGGAAGGAAATTGCGAGATTCCTTCACGGCGTATACAAGAACAGCTATTACAACCCATACGAGATGGCATCCGTGGCTGCCGCCGTCTCACGATTGAAGGCTGCACCCATGAGGATCTTCTACAAGACACGATGCAAATCGTCAAACAACCACACTGGCCCGATGCTCATGTTCTCCTCACTGAGCTTTCGATACACAGAGATCGCGCCGATGACGCTGAGCATGCCAAGAATGACTTGGCTTGCGTAGCCGCCTGCACAAAAGGTATCAGCGTAATCGACCGTCTATCCAATCGCAATACGCGTTTCGATGGAGGACGTCTCCCTCCATATATTCGCGCCGTTTTGGACGAAGTAAAAGAATATTCCTATCACTTCCACATCACCATCGCCCGCTGCCTACTCACTCAGCTCAATCAGCTCTCTTCTTCCGAAAATTCCCGTCTAAGAAGTTCTGAGGAGCTATTTGAGGAGCTATCTACCATCTACGCAGATGTGTTCCACGTCCTCCAATACATTGTGCAAGGCGAATTCCACAAACCCGGCAGAGAACTTGGAGTTCACTGGTTTCCCACCTTCACATACCGACCCTGCTGTTTCCCGTGTCAGGAGTCATACTACCTACTCGCGTCGGCTGGACGCATCATCCTAGAAAATGCGGATGCGGATGGGAATGCGAGAAAATTCCCAAGACGTCAGACCCGGGTGCAATTCATCAAGGAAACGAGAGCATACTTGCGCAAGGCTTGGGAGACAAGTTGGAAGAACGAGGTATATATAGAGGAGAGGAGACGGTTCGAGCGGATTATGGGTGTGGGTGTGGATGTAGATCCGTGGTCGGTGCAGAAGAGGTCTAAGTGGGTTGCGCCTTCGAGTTCAGGGCGAGGCCCTCGTGGTTGTTGTTCACCGTCACAACGATGGAGGAGAAACAAAGGAGACGGTTCGGGCGGATTGCGGGTGTGGGGGTAGATCAGTGGTCGGTGCAGACGGGGTCTAGTTGGGTTACGCATTCGAGTTCAGTGTTCCCTCGTAATTGTTGTTCACCGCCACGCCTATGGGGTTTAAAGAGAGAGCTCCTGCTGCTAAACAGTGTAGGGTGATTGAGAGTGAAGACTCTTTTGTTTCAGGCGCGTGGGAAGTTGATGGGTAATGGGTTTGCAGTTGTTCTTCATGAAGTCGCATAGAGAGTGTTATTGACATTTCTTATAGATCGCTGACCCCGATTCTAAACTTTGAAGTAATATACATGCGCAGTAATTCGACCCATCCCCATGTAAACTTTCGCATCTACCGATGATGAGCACTCTGTCCTGCATTTCTGCCCGTAGCACTTGCCTCAGCAGCCTATTTCTGATTATGCTTAGACATGCTCACCAATATCTCCGCAGCAACTTGTTCACTGATCACCCCAGTCAATCTCGGAGTCTTCTCCACAGCCCCCTTTGTCTTCCTCTGGACTTTCGTACCAACCGATGGAGTAGTCTTCTTAGCAGTTGCCTTAGTTTTTCCTGGAGCTTTCTTCGTTGGAGGATCACACTTCACACAATCATTTGTCGCCGGGTTGGTGTCTTCCGTCAAATGGACTGTATGACATTTGGTGGGGAACTTGCTTCCCGCTGGTGCTAGTACCCAGGAATCTGGACATCGGACTGTTCGGTTACCGCTTTCCAAATAGGGTGAGTAATCTTTGCCACTTCTGTGACATTTAGGACATTTTTTGGGGCGGACGCCTGTACACATGTTCGGAGTATGGTAGGTAAATGTGCTGATTTGTGGGTTTGGTGGACGCGCGGCTTTGGTGGCGCTGCTGTGGGATATGGATAGGGTCTCGAGGTTGCTGGATGTGAAGATGGCTGAGTATGTGGTCGATATCAAATCGATGTGTTTAAGTTAAGTGGTCTTCTGTAGTGCTTTCTTGACTTGTGGTTGTGTATTTGTAGGGATTTAGATATGTAGGCGACTCGAGAGCGGTTTATATTTTACAAATAAGCTGAATTTCTCAATTCTATCGTTGAAGAGCTGCTACATCACAGTGTACATGTAGTCATTCTGCCATTCAAGTAGCACCACTATCTCCATCATCAAATCCGCCCTATTGATCTCCCCACAACTCCTTCCTCTTAGTCTTCACATCCTTGTCAAATCTCTCCTTCGCCAGCCTTATTCTTTCCAGTCTCTGTTCGTTCGGCGTCATCTTCCCTTCTGCCTTCCTCTGTTCAAATGTCTTCCGTGATATACAGACTGCACAGTCCCCTTTCTTTCCAATCTGATCGCGCATGATGGATTCGCATCTAGGCCCTGAGGGTTCCTTTCCTGTCATTGATTTGATGAATGCCGGGCATCGGATCCATTTTGTACCGCCTTGGAGGTAGGGGTCGTGGCCTTTGCCGTTGTTGCCGCAGTCGGGGCAGACTTCGTTGTTGACGCCGATGCACATAGTTAGACGTGGCGATGTGTGATGAAGTCGCGGGTGGACGCTTATTGTATGGCAATTAGGTGGCTTCTGCGAAGCTTATTTGGTGGTAAAGATAGGGATTCCGAATTTGGTAGAACTTCTGTGCAGTTCCTGGCTGTGTCGTTTAATCCCAGTCGATGTGTTTGAGCGCAGTGGTTGAGTCTGGTTATGACTACAAAACTCTGGAGAGCTAAATTTATGGGCGGTGTGTTTCTAATACACGCTTCACTGATAAACTAAAATTCACTACTTTGTCGTTGAAGGACTGCTGTATCACAACAAGCATGTGCGATGCTTCGTACACAAATACCTGATCATGTAGCCATTATGCTTGTTACCTGGAGAGAAATTCAATAGGGATGTGGATGTTGAAGTGCCCTTGAATCGAATGGAGAAGAACTCATCAGTCGTCGTTCTCAGACTTCAAGACTACACACGAGGGTATGACAAACGCAGGCTTCGACGTGCTGATGTCGTCATGATCTGGGTCGATTCACACGCCCGAGTTCGACATCAATACTGCATGTTCAACGAAAGCTTCACAATCTTGCTTAGGAATATCTTCTGAGCCAGGTATAAGATCCTAGACGTGGCCAGTGTTCTTAGGCCATCTTCTTGACTATATTTACCCCAACTAGACACCAACTTATCACATCATACAGGCAGGCCTGATTTTACACACTTCCCAGTCCAACCAATCGAGTTACATACCAACGACATCATATATCATGGCGGTCGCAAAACCAGCCATCGCTGTTCATGTCGCTATTGATCCACGCAATCAAGGACTTCCCACTGATGACTACGATACCGACGATGAGTCTTATCACAGTGAAGTCAGCGATGAAGATACTAGAGACAAAGTAGAAGACGATAGTGATGTGGAAGAGGAGTTTGATAGCAAGGTTGAAGGTACAGGGGACGATGAAGATGAGCACTTGGAAGACAGCGACGTTGACGGCAGTGACTATGAACGAGCTTCAGACGATGAGACATCTGAGAGCGACAGCGAACATGAAGACGGCGGGTCGCCACATCATAAGTCAGCTAGCAATATTCAGACACCGCCTGTTGGCTACCCTCAAAAGTCTTCCGTGGTTCCAGAAGCACTGAGGCCAGGACCGAATGGCCACGATCCCCGGGCAATGCCTCCGCAGCAACGCCAAATTTCTAGTCTAAGAGCTCCAGTGCATTCGTATACGCCTTCTGAACTGCGACAAGCAGATCGGCGCCAAGTTATCTCTATTCAACACCAGCACTTCCAAGATGTTGCTCCGTCTCCTCCGCAAACTGCGCAAACCTCCCAAACAAGCCTGCCGTTATGGCAGCAGCCCTACCAGCATTCGATGCAAGAGGAGGAAGCGGAAGACGAATATGAAGAATATATGGAAGAAGCAGAAGGGGAGGAAGAAGGCACCGACGACTACGACGATCTAGCGCGGGGACCGATTGTTCAAAGACAGTCATACGAGTCAGCAGGACGTCAAATGCAGATGCCTTCTCAGGATCAGGTAATGGAGCGACAACGCCAAGAGCAACTCAGAGCTGCACTGGCAAAGAAAGCTTCAGACGAGCGAATGGCGCAAGAACAGGAAGCGGCCGAAGCCGCGGCGGAAGCAGCGCATTATCAAGCGCAGCGACAACAGATCCAAGCCCAAAGACAAGAAATCGACAGAAAACGCCAAGAGAATATGCAAGCTGCCATACAACAGAGACAGCTAGCGCAGCAGCAAGCGCAGGAAGAGGAAGAGGAAGAAGATGAGCTCGCAGCACAGCAAGAAGCTGCAGAAGCGGCGGCAAACGAGACTGCCCAGCGAAAGTTCGAATACGCACAGCGTCAACAAGCACTTCAGATGCAACGAGCGCAGCAGAAGCATGCGGATGATGAACTCGCCGCCAGGGAAGATGCGGACTGGGCTGATCAGGAAGCTGAAAAGGCCGCGGCACAGCAGCAGGCCTTCCAGCAGCAGCAACAGTGGCAAGAACAGCAAAGAGCCCAAGACGATGAAGAGTATCAGGCACAACAGCAGGCACAGTACCAACAGCAACAGTTGCGAGAACAACAAAAAGCCCAGGAAGTTGCAGATAAAGCTGCTCGGAAGCAAGCAGCAGACGAAGCCCGCCAGTTTGCAAAGCAAGAGAAAGATGCGAAGAAGGCGGAGGAGAAAGCAGTAAAGGATGAGAAGAAAGCTCAAGAGAAGGAGCGAAAGGATGAAAAGAAAGCGGAAGAGAAAGAGCGAAAGGATGAACAGAAAGAGGCTGATCGAGAAGAACGTGAGACTCGTCGAGTGGAAGATCAGGAGGCCAAACGCGAACGAAAGGCCGAGGAGGATGAACGGCGGAAAGAACAGCGCGAGATGGACCGTGAAGCCCAGAAGGCTAAGCGGGCGAATGATATAGAGATGAAAAGGACACGGGCAGAGGAAATGCGGGAACGTAAAGCCGAGGATGCCGTTCAGCGACAACAGCAACAGGAAATCGATAGAGAAGCCCGCAAGACTCAAAGAGAACTCGATGCGGCCGAAAAGACTCAACGAGCACAGGAGCAAGCCGAGCTCAGAGCAGAAGAAGCATCTCAACGTATTGAGGAACTCTCCATGACACAGGAGGCCAGAAAGGCAGAGCGAGAAGCCCAGAGGCAGATGCATTTGGCTGAAAAGCAAAGCACGATGGACGAAAAGGCTGCTCAAGCTACCCATAGTATGGCAGAGCATGCCATGGAGCAAGAAGCAAAGCGTTCCGAGCGGGAAATCGAGGTTCAGAGACGCCAGGCCGAACTAGAGGATAAGAAGGCTCGACGAGCCACTGAAGCTGAGGAGAAGAGATTAAGAAAGGAGAGCGAAGACGAAGAGCGAGCGCACAAGAGGGCTGGTGATCAGGAAAAGAATACTCACCAACAAGAAGAGAGGCAGCGTATGCAGAAAGAGGAGGACGAGCGACGGACGGAGGCTGGTAATGCCATGGCGAGACCGCAAGCCGATGGGAACAGGGCAGCTGGAGGGCATGATGAAACCCAAGGACATCATGATCAACAACATGGCAGTCATTCGGACGACAATCATGGCCACCAACAGGGTAGACACTCAGATACGCAGCATGGCGACCCTAGAGGTCCTAATCACGCAAGTGGAAATCATCAAGATCACGCAAGACAACCTGGACAACAGGGTCAACAAGATGGTCGCCATTGGGACGGTAACCATGGCCACCAACAGGGAAGATACCCAGCTACGCGACATGGCGATTCTAGAGGTCATGACCATCCGGGCGGAAATCATCCGGATCACGCCGAAGAGGGCCGTGGTAATGGACTACGTCAAGAAAGACACCCATATATGCAGCGCGGCGATCCTAGAGATCGTGGTCACCAAGGTGAGAATCACATGAATCACGCCAGTCATGGAAGTGGTGATGAACTACACCTGGGTATGCACGGCGTACCAGGACCAAGGCAACACGCACAGGCGGGGCGAGAAGCGCAGGAGGCAAATTTGGAGGCTGCGCAGAGCCCTAATAGCCCCGTCGCTCAAAGCAAAGGCATCAACAACGGAAACGGCACGAATGCGAACGGTGCCAAGCAAAAACCTGTGATGGATCGAGAATTGGTCTTGCAGGGAAGAAAGGACAGGAAAGAGGCAAAGAGGTTAAATAAGGCTGCGGGGAATGATGCCAATTCTCAACAAGAGAGCGCAGGTGAACCGGTTAAGGAAGGAACAGACGACACACAAAAAGATGCTGCTAAACGACCTGCGCGTACGGAGGCTGGGATAAAGGAAGCGCGGGAGGTGAAGAAGAACGCGAAGCAAGACAAGAAAGCCGCGAAGAAAGAAGCTAACGCCCAGAAAGAAGCTGCTGCCTCGGGTACCAGACATGACGATACGACTAAAGATCAGAAGAGCGCAGATGATCCAGCCAGAGGAAAGCAGAGCGCAGAAGACAGCGCAAAGACTCATCAGAAGATTGCCGACCACACGATTACCAACAAGACGGTCAACAACCAGACAATCACCAATCAGACGATCACCAACCGAACGATCAACAACGAACATGTTACGAACGCCAAGACCGAAAAGGGACCCTCGAAGAAGGACATCATCGCAAAGAAGAGGACCGAACGGAAGGCTAAGAAAGAGAAGGACGCTGAACATAAGGATTCTGAAAACAAGGGTTCCGAACACAAGGATGCTGAACATAACGACGCTGAACTTAAGGAGAGTAAGAACGGTGGAGCGAAGTCAGACAGTACAGACGCAGACTCCAAAGCCGCCAACAAGAAGGCTAAGGATGAGAAGAAGGAGGCGGATGCAAAGAAGAAAGCCGAAGCGAAGGAAGCAGCCTCGAAACTGGAAATGGTGCACAAGGCTGAGAAAGCTGATGAGAAGAGCGAAAAGAAGGGGGGTGAGAAGGTTGGTAAGGAAGTTGTTCCATTTACCAACAAGCATGCCGATAAGTCTGGGGATCCAAGTACTGCGAAAGCTGAGAAAGAGGCTAAGAAAGCGGAAGAGGCCCAGGAGAAGCTCGAAGCTAAACGACTCGCATCTGAGAAGAAAGCGCATGACAAAGAGGAGAAACTGAAGCAAAGGTCTCTCATAAAGCATGAGTCCTCTGATGCCAAGAAAGCCGCCGAAACAGAGAAGCATAGACTGAAGCTCGCAGCCAAAGAAGCGGCCAAGAACAAGAAGCCCGAAGCTAAGCAACTCGCAATCGACAACAAGCCACATGATAAGGAGCAGAATTTGGATCACAAATCCAGCGCGAGTGAATTCCAGTCGCATGAAAGCCATACACAGAGCTCTGAACATCGACAATTCAGCCTATTCAGATCGAGTGCGAAGCATGAGACCACGGATACCAAAGCTGCCGAAAAGGCGGAGCAACGGAGGCTGAAGATAGTAGCCAAAGAAGCCGCAAAGGGACAGAAGCTGATAATGCAAGCCGAAGCGAAGGAACAGAAGCTCATCACGCAAGCTGCAGCGAAGGAACTGCGCGCAGCCTCTAATAAAGCTGCAAAAGAACAGACACTCATACCACTGGCCACCGCCAAACAAGGAGCCGCCGCACGAAGAGACCAAGAAAAGGAAGAGAAACGTCAGAAGAGGAGAGAAGCCCGATTGATGATTGAGCAGCCGAATAAGGAGCAGAGTTTGGTCAAGTTTGGACGGAGAGAGCATGACCAGCCGAAACAAGAGCAAAGTCTGGTCTTGTTTGGAAAGAAAGGCCATGATCAGCCGAAGCAAGAGCAAAGTCTAGTCAGATACGAAAAGAAAGAGCAGGATGAAGCCGCCAAGAAACGGCGGCAGGCAAAGGAAGAGGAAGAGAAACGCAAAAAGAAGGAGGACGCCCGCGTCGAGGCAGAGCGTCTGAAAGGAGAGCATGTGAAGCTCAAAGCAGAAAAAGAGAAGCTTCAAGCCCAGAAGAAAGACAAAGACAGAGCGGAAAAGGCAGAGAAGGACAGACTAGCAGCAATCCAGAAGAAAGAGAAGAAGAAGCTTAAAGCTGAGCAGGACGAGAAGGCCGAAGCTTTAAAGAAACAGCATAAACAAAAGGAAGAAGAAGAGAAACGCAAGAAAAAAGAGGATGATGAGTTCTCCAGGGCTCAACATCTGGCAGACCAAGCGAAAGGTCTAGCCGCAAAGGAACAGAAAGATAAGAAAGAAAAGGAAGAGAAGCGCCAGAAGAAGGAAGACGACGACTTCGAGGCAGCGCTTCGAAAGGAAGAACTAAAAAAAGCCAAAGGAACGCAAATCGAGAGGGCTAACCTGGAGAAGAAAGAGAAGGAGAAGCATACAGCAGCCGACGCAGCTCGTCGGAAAGCAGAACAAGAGAGGACTAAAGCTGAGCAGCAAAGGAAAGAGAAAGCTGCAAAAGCAGCGAAGGAGGAGGACGACGCGTTCAGGAGAAAACTTGATCAACAGCATCTAGAGTGGGAGGCGAAGAGGAACGCTGCGAAGAGTGCTCCGAAACCAGCGGCCGCGTCCAGGCCTACAGGTGCAAGTCATGCTGCTCCTACTAGGAAGGCTGCTCCTGCTAGAAATGCTGCTCCTGCTAGAAGGCGGAAGTAGATAGGAGGTCGAGACTGTTCGGCAGATGCTGTAGTAATAATGTACTGGTGGTATGTAAATTTGTCCATGGTGTAGCGCGCGTCTTTCTATCCTCCCAACCTCCATGTGTAAAGTACTCCACGCCTAAACCACACTTCCACAAACTCTTACATCTCCCCAAGCTTCCCTATTCACACCCCTCCAAACTCTTCTTATACTCCTCCCACAACTCCTCAACCCCCTTCCCACAACACCCCTTCCACAACGCCTCCCCATCATACTTCTTCTCCCTCATCCCCTCATTCAACCTCCTAACAACATCCTCCCCATGCTCCTTCTCCAACCACTCGAGAAAATACCCCGTCCGCTCATATCCCGCATCCCACTCACAATCCCCATGCCTCTTCCAATGCGGCGGCGCAAACCCCGCCTTCAACCTCACCCAATCCGCGACACCTTCTGTCAACCCCGTCGGCGCACTCCCAAACCCACTATGCTGCCAGCAGTGCACCATTTCATGCACAAGTACACCCAGTATCTCTTCTTTCTGCCGCGACTCAGGTACGTGCGAGATGTAAGACGTGTTTAGATGGATTTCCTTGTGGTCGTCGTCGAGATCGAGGCCTGTTGTGTATGCGACGCCGTCCATTTCGCGGAGGACTAGGGTTACGGATCGCGTGCCTGGGATGCATGTTTTGGGGAGCCCGCTGTAGAGGTGTGTGAGCACGGTCGCGACGGCGTGTTCGAGCGCGTGCGACGCGTGTGTGAGGCGCAGGAAGGCGCGGGTGCCATTTGAGGAGAGGTCGCGGAGTTCGAGGCGGAGGAGAGGTTTTCGCGTTGGGGTTACGGCGTCGGTGACGAGTGGGAGTTGGGTAGTGGGGTCGGCGAGCGTGGTTGCGTTGGTGGTGGTTGTGTTGAAGGGGTGGGTTGGGGGTAATGCGGAGGATTGCGGGGCGGGTGGGGTGGAGGACGTTGGGGTGGTTGATGACATGGTCTGGTATTGCTTTGGTGTCTTCATTGATTATTTCTGTAGAGGATATCGGGTTTTCTTTTATGGAGGAAGAGTTGGAGGGTTGTTGCTGCCTAGATGTGGTGCTATGGTACGCAAGAGCACTGGAGACGCGCACTGGTCCTCGGCGAACGATAAGATACCGAGCCATGGTAACCGCAAGGCCTTATTCTCATCAAACCAAACAGTTCGTCTAGGTTTACTGACCTTCTATCTTTCTTCGAATCTAGTCTATCGTCTAGTCGTAATCATCATGGTCGTAGAGTTCTGCAAGTACGCATGGTGTGCCCGTGCGGACTACAGTCTATCGCTTATCCCCATCATATGGATCCATGCATCTTCTCACGAACTTTTGAACACCTCTGGGAAGATCTTCCGTAGCTCCTGTAGGCTCCTGATCTGGTACTTGCTTGCTGGCTGAGCAGGTGCGGGATCTTTCTCGTCAAGCAGATGCGCCGTCTTCCATCCCCGTCCCTCTGCTGCCTTGCAGTTGATGTAAGAGTCATCTGTATCAATGTATCAGTAAAGTGCAATAATATGAGATGTTCTGAGCACTCACCGACGAAGTAGCACTTCTCGTTCGACTTGATACCCGCCTCTGCCATCGCCTTGTCGTACATCTCTACATGCGGTTTGCAGTAGAACTTGTCCGAGCCATAGTCGCAGAAAGTGATGCCCTCGAACAGATCATCAATCTGCAGAAGCTTGACGACGCGCTTACCATGGGTGATGTACGCATTGGTGAAGAGCCATAAGCGGCACTTGCTTGTGTCGATGTCCTCGATCAGCTTGCGCAGTTCGGGGTTGGGCTTGATGACATCTTCCAGTGGTAACGCGTCATCTACTTTGCTGTTGTACTCTAGTGCATTGACTTTATGGTGTCGAACGAGCCCTTCAATCGCGAGACCATATTCGCGGTAATAGCGGTAGTGGAGTTCATTGGCGTCTTCTTGGGACAAGCTGAGGTGATTCTGGAAGAACTGATCGATCAGCTCAGCCATCATCCGGTGGATATCAAGACTCTTGGAGTAGAGGCAGTTGTCAATGTCGAAAAAGAAGACTGGCTTCTCGTTCTCGTCGACCCGGGCGTTGCTGTTTGCTGTTGAGTCATGTTGAGGTTGCGACCGGTACTCCATGGTCTCTGGCGGTGCTGCTGTGTTGAACGGCATGATCTTGGTTCTTTTGATAACAAACACTCGAAATGATGATTGATCTCGGATATCGAAAAGGTGGGATATGGGTTGTCTAGGTAAGTGGCGCTGGAAGATTCCAAAGGTTGTCTGCTTAGTGTAAGTTTCGAGTTATGACGCACAGGATATAGTGTTGGCGTCATACGTTGTCGCAGTATCACAGACCAAAAGAAAGCCAATCTTCAATGTTTCTCTTGACTAGATGCGATTGCTGCATTCACGGTTGTAGAAGGCGTGATGGGTACATGGAGAAGTCACCATCCCCTTCGGGCCTAGTGCTGGCGCTGGCGCGTGCACCTGCTGAAAACCAAAACGCGCCGTGGCTCCGACATTCATTGCCCACTCGCTGGCGTGTTGCTCTCCATACACTCATTCCCCTTCATCATCTTCTCACCCCGCACAGCTGCGGGTTTCGCCTGTATTTGTATAATCGCCAGTCTTGCGCTCGCTTGTTGGTGTTCAGTACTAAAGTCAGTTCGCGTCTGTTGTGATGGCAGCGCCAATCGCTTCCATGTCGACAGCCGCAGTGCCGTCGCATCTGAACAGTGCCAGCGCAGTGTCTGCAGAGGTGCTTCGCGAGGCCGAGTTCCTCCAGAAGATTTTGCAGATACGCGACCAAGTGCTTGCTAGCCAACACCCGCGTATTCATCTTCCACCCAAAGTAATTGAACAGGTTGCACCGCGTCTTCCGCAGACTGCCTCTAGCAGACCCACCACCAACGGCACACCCAACGGATCTTCATCGCAACTATTTCCTCCGCGTCCAGCATCTTCAGCACGCCCTCCCACGTCTCCTATACCCCCTACACAACGACCCTACTCGGCCAAGTCGTCCTCTTCGAGCATCGATCCCATCTTGCTCACAAAATCCGAACACCTGGTCAAGGCGGAACAGCAGCTCAAGCGGCAGCAGATAGAACGCGCACTGAAGGACCAGTTCGATAAAAAGGGCCGTGGCAACGATGCAGACGAGCGAGAAGCTCTCATCGACGTCGAGCAGTGTTTGATCAAGGCCCACCAACTGGTCCCACCTGTATCTGGCTTACCGTCTGCGACTAACAACAGCGACGACGTTGAGTCATTTGACGAAAACTCGTACTACTCTAGCAAGGCGAACAGTTGGTCCTCAGAGGATGTTGATCGCGCTGACCACACGCATGCTGATGCAGCTCCACTGACATCACAGGCGCAGCCCACAGCTCAGCAAGTGAATGTCCACTCTCGCCCAGCCGAGCCCACTGTGATCGACCTCGACGAAGAGGCTTATGAGCCGGCCGATGACATAGAAATCTATGAGCCTGAGCCTGCACAGCTGCACGAGGAAGGCGAGGAGGAGGAAGACTACTCTCCACCTCCAGCCGAGATTGGTCCAAGCGAACCCTTGAGGGGTCGGCAGCGCAACCGCCATGGCGGCACGAACGGGTATGATACTACAAGATTTCTCTTCTCACTTCTGTTCTCTTCTCGCACATTGAGTCAGCGACCTGCTTCGCGACAGGTTCGTCCATCCAGGTTGTGGCATGACCCTGAGTCTGGTAGCGAGCGTCGCTGTATTATGGGTCACCATCTCTGCTGCCTTGAGATCAGTCATAGCTGTCCTTGCATATCTCTATTCCAATTTCCTGTCTTCCATCTATTTTCCTTCTTGTAATCATGCTAACGTTTCGCAGATCACGCCGTCAAAGTCCGACCGGTCCCGCAGCACCAGTTCACAACCCTCGCAAGCGGAGACGGGAAGAGAAACGCGAGCGCGACGAGAAGAAGCGTCAGCAGCAGGCCAACAAACGCGTTGTCAACTCGCCAGAACCGTACATCAAGGAAGAGCCTCAGTCACCACCTCCTTTCGCGGCTTACCCCGACTCTCAACCTAGTAAGCGTCGTGCGCTACAGCCTCATCCTGATGAGGTAGAGCTTGTTTCTGCGCAAGGCAGCCCCAGAACACAGCCGGTCTACTACCGCGACCCGGAACCTATGGCACGATCTTACCGCGAGTACGATGAGCCCTTGTCCCCGACCGTCATACGCACGCCGCAGCGGAAATCGTTGCGCGACGAACAGGACCTCAGGCGGGTCGCAAGTCTGCAATATGCTCGACGCCCCTACTCGCCAGGTGGCGTCAACGAGATATACGCAGCGCCAGAGCCTCGACAGATTCGCGCAGCATCGCATGCATTTGTCGAACGCGCCGAGGCGCCCGTTTTCCGCGAAGCCTCAGCCCGCCCATCAGCCGCACCCAGATACGTACGCGAACGTTCGCGATCACCTATACATGAATACATGCCCTCTCAGCCGCTCATGGCTCCGCCGCCACGCAGAATTGTGGTGGATCAGTATGGACAAAAGTACTATGCGGCACCAATGGATGCGCGAGAGTCGATGGCACCACCTAGCAGGCGAGTGGAAGTTGAGCCATACTACGAGCGGGCTGTAACGCGGGAGCCCACGATGCGTGCACCGGCACGACCAGAAATGTACGAAGAAGAAGCTGTTCAGAGAATGCCCCCGCCTCCTCGACGTTATGTTGAGGCCTCGGAGCCTGAAATGATTGAGAGCCCGTACAGGCAGAGAGAACCCTCTCGCCGTCCTGTAGAGGTGGAATACCGCGCTGCGCCACAGTACGAGGAGATGGGTCCGCCACGAGAGTATGCTTCAGCGCGATCGTACAGTATGCGGCCAGAAGTTATTCGTCGAGAAGTGCCGGAAGGCTACGTCCGACACGAGAGCATCCAGCCGTCGGCTGTTCGCGCCTCACAGCCTCGATTCCGTGAGGTCAGTGTGATGCAGGAGCCTTTTGATGAGCGTCGCTATGTTGGCGCACCTCA